TGTGTGTGTGCGTGTGTGTGCGTGTGTGAGCATGCGTGCGTGTGTGCGTGCGTGCGTGCGTGTTGGTGTGTGTGTGTGTGTGTGTGTGTGCGTGCGTGCGTGCGTGTGTGTGTGTGTGTTTGTGGGACGGTGGTGGGTGGCACGTGGGAAGCTGAATTAAAACACTTACACTGATGGAACCATTCTTCTGCAGAAACCAGCGGAGCGGCCATGAAACACAAAACACACACACACTCATCAGACACACATGCATTTAAAAACTACAGCTACTGAATAACAATGAGAACTAGGATTTATAAATCATGACTGCAGGCTGTGTTTCATTTACTGTAATAATTGAATGTGCACTACTAGAAACATACAAAACAATGTGGTGTTACCAGGGTTATTATAGTTAACCAAAACCATAAAACTATTTTTGTTACTTGAAATAAAATGCATTTTGAAAAATACATTTGTATATATATTTTTTAATTTTAAATAGAAATCTTTTGTGACATTATAAATGTATTTACTGTCACTTTAATAAAATACTTTCAATTAAATAAAACTGAAAATATATAAATAAAAACAAATTTAAAATTTTAATAAAAATACAATAGCATTGATATATGATACTAAAGAATAAATATGATACTAAAATAACCTGCGTGTTACATAAACACTGTTCAAGCTGCATATTGTCCATGTGAGTGGGGTCAGTGAGATATACTTCTGAAAAAATTAAAAATTAATACTTTCATTCATCAAGGATGCATTTAAATTGATCAAAAGTGACAGTAAAGACATGTTACAAAAGCTTTCTATTTCAAATAAATGCTGTTCTTTAGAACTTTCTGTTCATCTGTGAATCCTGAAAAATAAAATGTATCACAGTTTCCATAAAAATATCGTGAAGCACAACTGTTTTCAACATTGATAATAATCAGAAATGTTTCTCGAGCAGCAAATCAGCATATTATTATGATTTCTGAAGATCATGTAACACTGAAGACTGGAGTAATGATGCTGAAAATTCAGCTGCGCATCACAGAAATAAACTACTGTTTAACAGATATTCACATAGAAAACAGCTGTTTTAAATTGCTAAAATATTTTACTATTTTTACTGTATTTTTTATCAAATAAATGCAGCCTTGGTGAGCAGAAGAAACTACTGAATGCTAGTGTACTATTTTACTTCTGTAATGATGTATTTGTGAATGCTGTTATGATAATGGTTCAGTAAGTGTCTGACCTTTGGTCGTTAGTCCTCCAAAACGTTCCGGCTCGTCCTTCTTCTTATGGTGACCTCCTGATTTCGCGCTGTGATTGGCTGCTTGGATGTGGAATTTCTCAGCTCCAGGAACCTCTTTGTGCACGTGATATGACAGATTACGCAAGATACAGACGCAGTTCTCCACCGACTGCGGAAAAAACATGAAAAACACAGGTGTAAGACTGAGAGGAAGCCTTCAAAACCAGGAGAAATGCACAAATATGATTCAAACACACTGCAGGAGAGATGCACATAGAGCATCATATAACATAAAAACAAATGTGTATTATTTTTTTAAATAATAATAATAACAATAATAATAATAATTATTATTATTTAGTTTTGCTTAAAGTTTAGTTTATAAATTATTATTATTAAAGTAAACTCAACTGGAATTAAAAAGTAAATAGTAATAATAATAATAATAATAATATTGTTTATTATTATTACTATATTAAATGAACTTACATAATAATAATAGTAAAATTGAAAATAATAATAATAAATATTTAGTTTTAGTTAATAATAATTATGATTATTATTATTATTATTTAGTTTTGTTTAAAGTATAGTTTATAAATTATTATTATTAAAATAAACTCAACTGGAATTAAAAAGTACATAGTAATATTAACCATTATTATTATATTTAATAAAATCACATAGTATAATTTTAAAATAATAATAATTTAGTTTTAGTTAATAATAATAATAATAATAATTAAAATATGAGAAATCAGATTTCATTTTAAGTGAAATATAATTTATTTTTTCCCTTGTTTTTGGTGTGAAATGTGAGGTGATCAGCTCATGTGCAGGTGTGCTATGGCCTGGATTTCTATTTAAATTCTTACTTTGTTATTTATGTCCCTCTTGGCGACAGCAGAATAGAGCGCGTGCAGCAGAGCGTCCACCAGCCCGTCACACTCACGCAGTCTCTGTCGAGCTTCAGCTCCGTCTGAACTCACGTTCCTGCAAACACAGGAGCGCAACATAATCCTGCTGCAGTCTGACAGCATCAGAGCAATGAAAAACCGCTTAACCCTCAGAACGCATTCAGGTCGTTTTGACCTGGAAGATATACTTTTTTTTTTTTTAAATGCATAGAATTTAGAGAGGGAATGAAACTTTGCAAATGCGTTAAGACCCTCGAAATACACATCATTTATTTTTTTCCCACATTTTTTACAATTATGTTTTAAGAGATATAAGCATTTAAAATGTTTGGGTCATTTTGGACCCGAGTATGTATGGAGCACCATTAGTGTCAAAAACTTTTTACTTTTTATAAAATTATCTATGAAGTTATATTAGTGTCAAAAACGTCGGTAACATATTTCACCTCTTCCTCATATCTCACACACTTTTGGGACTGGATTTTGTTGATGAACATAAATATGTATGTCTATTGATAAACCAGCGCAACATGAAAAATTGATCACTTTTTTCATCTGAAAGTGAAAGTTTATGCAAGTAAAATTAATTTATTTTGTTTGAAAACTTTTCAGAGTAATATTTATGTTGCTTTGATGTTGTTTTGTTAGAAAAAAAAAATGTAGGTTTTATAAATTTGGATCATGAGTTTAATTGAACTTCAATTCATTCCAATGGGGTTAATACTGAGATTATATGTTCTTATAAATTTCATACAATTATATATTCAAATAAAAATTTGCCTCAATATTGAAAAACAAATCTACATATTTTGCATCATAGTTTTTTTGGTGTAGTTCATATGTAATCTAAATTTCTTAATTACTAAAAAAGGGGTAAATACAGTAATAGCATGGTAACATTCAAAACTTATAATTTTTTCACATTCACTCATTAATGAAAAGTTGCTGATCAGATACAATATGGTTTTAATTGAAAAAATATGAATTTATGACTATTTAATAAAATAATATTATGAGGGTTAAAGAGCTTGATTTGAGCCGGTTTGGCGGCTGCAGCGCATTCAGAGAAAAGTAGGGGTGTAACGGTACACCAACATGACGGTTCGGTACGTACCTCAGTTTTGACGTCACGGTTCTGTATAGTTTCGGTACAGCAGGAGGAAAAAAACTAAACATAAATTGCTTTTTTTTTTACATTTAACAATGGATTACTGAATAAATTGCTCTTTCCTTAAATAAATCCAATTATAATTACAATTTATAATCATTTACAGAGTCATAACTTGTTTCATAAAATATTTATTTAAACATATGAATTAAATAATTAAAACATCACTAACACGTAAAATAAATGAAGTACAGGCCTAGTCTAATATTTCACAAAATGCTCTTCACTAGACTTCATTTCTCTAGCAAATAATGAGCTGGAGACACTGATATAAATGCCTGAGGTAAATGAAATGCTACGTGACAGCTGTTTTAATCTTTCCGTGGTTGAAACACTAATTGAGCGATTACGCGAGGGGTGAGATGTTCATTCATGTATATTTTGCGTTAAATCTAGTAATAAAGATGAAGGGATGATCGCGCTCCGTGCTTCCGTTACAACTGAGGTGTTAGTTTACGGCGATCTGTCGTGCCGCATCAAAGAGCGTCAAAACGGCATTTATTGTCTGAATTTCCTGAAAAAATGGAACGATTTGAAAGACCCGTACCGAGAATTTTCGGTACAAATACATGTACCGTTACACCCCTAGAGAAAAGCGAACCTCAGGCATCCTGAAGTGTTCTTGAAGACCGTGTTCCACTCTGGGGCTCCGGGTCGGGCCGGGTCGTTCGGGTCTCCTCTCAAACCCGAGTGAGGGATAATGATCTCGTCGGTCAGCGTCTGTAGGCCGTGGTTGATGACGATCATCTTCAGAGGCTCATGGGAGGAGATATTCCACAGCGTTCCTGAGAAACACATGAGGAATCGTCAGGAGACTCTGTTCACTAGAACTAAGAATGATTCCATTTACAGGCCAGTCGTGGCTTGCTATTAAGCACTGACGGAACTACAACATTCAGTTCAATTCAATTAAATTCAGTTCAATTCCCTTCTCTTCACTTCAGTGCTGGTGACCAGTTAAGTTAGTGGAAGTGTTTCTGTAGCTCAAACAGAAGAGAAGGAAAGAAGTCTCTTCTGCTCACCAAGGCTGCATTTATTTGATAAAAAATACAGTAAAAATTGTGAAATATTATTACAATTTAAATGATCTGTTTTCTATGTGAATATCTGTTCAACTGCAATTTATTTCTGTGATCAAAGCTGAATTTTCAGCATCATTACTCCAGTCTTCAGTGTCACATGATCTTCAAAAATCATAATAATATGCTGATTTGCTGCTCAACAAACATTTCTAATTATTATCAATGTTGAAAACAGTTGTGCTGCTCAATATTTTTGTGCAAACTGTGATACATTTTATTTTTCAGGATTCACAGATGAATAGAAAGTTCAAAAGAACAGCATTTTTTTTAAATAGAAATCTTTTGTAACATGTCTTTACTGTCACTTTTGATCAATTTAATGCAGTATTCATTTCTTTCATCGTTCCAATGAAATCATTCATTGGAATCAGTGTGATTTATCATCATTGAGATACTATTAGAGTTTTTGTTATTATTTAGTATTAGATTTTATTTGTATATTTTCTGTTTTCATTGAAGTTAAACTTTTAGTAACTGTTGTGTTTTTGTCATTTTTATTGTTTTTAAATGTCTATAGAGTTTTTAGTATTTTTTTCAATTTCAGTTTTAGTTACTTTTAGCACATCAAGTTAAACTAAACAAAAAATGAGAAATGTTGCCTTGTCAACTAGCTAAAATAAAAGAAGTTTAAGTTTTTTATATTTTACTTTATTTCAGCTAACACTTATTTTATTTCAAGTTAGGGCTGCACGATATTGGAAAAAATTGACATTGCTATATCTTTTTTTCTGAGATATATATTGCGGTGTGTAGAAATGCAGGAATGTTCGTCAGATGTCTTGAACTGCTCAAAAATTAAATAATTAATAATTCTAGAATAATTGGGATGATTTTGTAGGCATCTTCATATAAAATAAACATAATAAAAAGTATACTAATAAAAACCCTGAAAATGACTTTTTACTTTTTGCCTTATCCTTATTTTGGGTTGTTTAATACACTACTTGACTCACCTTATTCACTACCAATTCAGGCAAATCAAGGATCTAATATGTTAGATTTAAACTTTGTGTAAGTTATTTGTTATTTTATATTAGGCCTATTGTTTTGTTTAATACAAGTGAGTCTGTCGTTGTACTGTTTTGTAACTGTCCATTCAAGCAATTGACGCCGAATTGCCGCTAATTCGATTATATGGATTCGATTTCCATATAACTGACGATGCATTTCTTTTTGCGACATATCTTCCAGTTCGGTGCTTTTCTCCCATTCCTTGTTTATTTCGCCATGCACACGCAGATATTGCATGCAAAAACATGAAGCAACAAACGTGTGCTTTGCAGCCTAAATAGTTTTTTAAGAACCCTTAAATCAGAATGAATTACTTTATATCAGGCAAATATAGAACCGTGCGAGTTTTTTTTTCTTTTGAATCAAACAAAAATATGTATATGTTTTGCCCTGCCCAGATTCCTGACTGGAATCTGAACCAGAATTGTTAAATTTCTCATAACTCCAATTCCAAATTTCTAAATCAAACACACTGTTTAATTCTAAGCCAATTTACAAGAAGCTGCACAAACCTCACATTTATTAGAAACAGAAATCTTTTGTATCATTATAAATGTCTTCACTGTCACTTTTGATCAATTTAATGTGTCCTTGATGAATAAAAGTAGCTTTTTTTTTTTTCAAAAAAGGTACTGACCCCAAACCTTTGAACGACAGTGAATCAGGGTTCATTTTCCAGGACTTTTCACATTTCATTACGACGGGAATAAAAGACATGGATCACAGATTCACGGCCTAAAGTAATACATTTCTCTCTCTTTTTAAGACTTTTAAGAAGTCTTAAAAAAACGTACACATTATGGCTAATATGATGACTTAACTATAAAATCAGAAATGCACCAAATATGCACACACACTGAGCTTCTGATGTTAAACTCTTCACTTTATTATGATAAACACATTACAATGACTGCCTAGGCTGTTCTCATTAAGTTTTCCCTTCCATCTTTCACCAACTGCAGTCTCAACTCAACTCAACTCAACTCAATAAAATAAAATAAAATAAAATAAGGCATTCTAAAAAAAAAAAAAAAGCATCTGTCCCAAACAGAATAAACAACAATGTCTGTCCAACTGTATATATTATTGACACTATTCGGTCATTAGGGGTTAAATGGATCGAAGTTGATCCGTGATCCATACTGATCATGAATTTAATGTTTTAAAATTAATACAATTTTGAATAGTAAGAGAAAAATAATTACACTTTTAAAAATTACACTAAAACCAGTAGGTGGCAACAAATAACAGTCTTAACTAGATTGAAATGTTTGTAGACAAACTTTAAATTGGCTTGAAAAAGCCTAGCTAGAAAGTTTGAAAAAGTTTTAAAAGCTTGCAGTCAGAAAGTTTTCAGTTTGAAGTAGTTTGAAAGTTAAAATAGTTTTAAAGATTAAAGTTTGAATGTTTTGAAGGCAATACAGTCTATCAGAAAAAACAGATATGAATAAAACATATTGCTAGGGTACCTGGGGTGGTTGCTAGGCTGTTTCTAGCATGACTAGCATGTTGCAAGCATGATTCTAGCATGATTAGCATGTTACTAGCATGGTGTTATCATTTTGTTAGAATGGTTAACAAGTTACTAGCATGTTTCTAACATGATTAACATGTTACTAGCATTTTGTTAGCATTATTAGCATGTTACTAGCATGGTGTTAACATTTTGTTAACATGATTAGCAAGTTACTAGCAAGTTTGTAGCATTATTAGCATGTTTCTAGCATGTTGTTAGCATGATTAGCAAATTACTAACATGTTGTTAACATGATTAGCAAGTTAGTAGCATGTTGCTAGCATAATTAGCATGTTACTAGCATGGTGTTAGCATGATTATCAAGTTTCTAGCATGATTAGCATGTTACTAGCATAATTCTAGCATGATTAGCATGTTACTAGCATGATGCTAGCATGATTCTAGCATGATTAGCAAGTTACTAACACCAGTCTGAAGGTCTGACCTAAGTTTGGTGGTTGTAGCTTTAAAAGTCTAGGAGGAGATACATTTTAAAATTTGGTCTCAGAAGAAGTAGTTTAGAAAGAAGAAGTTTAAATAGGATTTCAGTAAGTTGGCTTTTTCAAGCCAAATTAATGAGTGAGTCACCAGAGTCATTCTTTTTAAAGATTCATTCAAAATGCTTATTCATTTAGGAATGAAGCAAATCACGGTCTTTATGAATGGGTCATTGAGTCGCTTTCTCAAACGATTCGTTCAAAAATGCAGATTGGCGGAATTGTTGAATAAGTTATGTTATTATTGTTTTCTTTGCGCACAAAAAGTATTCTTGTAGCTTCGTAAAATTACGGTTGAACCGCTGATGTCACATGGATTATTTTAATGATGTCCTTGCTACGTTTCTGTGTGTTGATAGTGGTAATATCCTTGCAGTCTATGGAGGTTCAGAGAGCTCTCGGATTTCATCAGAAATATCTTAATTTGTGTTCCGAAGATGAACAGAGGTCTTACGGGTTTGGAACGACATGAGGGTGAGTAATTAATGACAGAATTTTCATTTTTGGGTGAACTATCTCTTTAAATCCTAGCACCTGCAACTGCCAACACAAGACAGCATCACTACTCTGAGAGATTGCTCACGGGTCAAAACTCTGCGTCCCTGAACAGAGCGCTTTCTGTTAATAGTTAATAGTTTCAGACCATTTGTAAACTGTATAATGTACAAAAATAATAATTTTCCAGGACAACAAGATTTTTCCAGGACAATTTATGTTTTCTCTCATTTTCCATGTGTTTTCCCGGACTGGAAAATTGGTCATTAATTTTCCAGGTTTTCCAGGACGCGTGGGAACCCTGTGAATGTTATCAAGATTATATAAGAATCATTAAAGAACCAGAATTGTTCATTGGTTATTTTAGTATCACTGAGATACTTTTTGTTAATTTTGAATTAGATTCTATTTTTATATTTTCTGCTTTAATATTAGTTAAAACTTTAATAATTTTATTGTGCATTTTTTGTGACTTTTATTAGTTTTTTAAATATGCCTATATAGTTCTTATTAATTTTTATTTCAGTTTTAGTTGTTTTAGTACATTAAGTAAAACTACATGAAAATGAGTAATCAGAAATGTTGCCTTGTCAACTACCTGAAATAAAAAAATTTAAGTTTTTTATGTTTTATTTGATTTCAGTTCATATTTATTTTATTTTCAGTAACAAAAATGTTTTTATGGCTTTAGTTTTAGTTACAGTTTTAGTTAACTATAATAACCCTGCTTGGAATCAGAAATGGAATGTTTTGTAACATTATAAATGTCTTTACTGTCACTTTTAATCAATTTAATGCGTCCTTAATGAATAAAAGTAGCAAATTTGGTTACACTTTATTTTAAGGTAATTAGAACATAATAACAGTTGTTCTAATTCTAATTACAGTGTAATTATACATTTAAGTACTGAGTAATATTAATTAACTATATGTACTTACTATATGGTTAGGGTTACTTACATGTAATTATGCATAATTAATTGTTATTATAATAGTAAGTACATGTGTAACAATGACACTTTAAAATAAAGTGTTAGCGTAATTTCTTTCACTTTTTAACTTGAAAGCACGAACCTGTGACGAGCTCTCGGACTTCCATGTCGTCAGATCTCCTCAGGAGCCTCAGCAGCGCAGGAATGCCGTCCGAGTTCTTGATGGCCACCTTGTTGAAGTTGTCCCGGCCAAAGGAGATGTTCCTCAGCGCGCCGCAGGCCTTGCGGTGGACCTCGGCTTTGGGATGATCCAGGAGCCCCACCAGGACGGGGATCCCATGCAGCTGCCTGACGTCTTGCTTGACCAAGTCGTTCTCGTAGCAGAGGTGCTGCAGGTACGCGGCAGCGTTGGACTTCACCGGGTCCATGGGGTGGCTCAGCATGGAGATGACCTCCCGCAGGTTCGGATCCCGCCAGCGCGGATCCTTGCGGATGGTGTCGAGGCTCACCATGCTGGCGCGTTTCTGCGGGATGAGCGTCTGCGCACGGTACAGGTCCTGGAAACAGGGATGGACCATTAATTAAAAAAGGAATCGAAACCAAAATTCAGAACCTCTAACCCAGTGTTTCCCAACCACTGTGACAGGTTGTTGGGTGTTGATCAATTCCAATTCTGATTCTGATTCTTACCGATTCCCAGTTTCGATTCCAATTAGTTTAGTTTACACTGCAAAAAATGATTCTCTTACTTAGTATTTTTGTCTTGTTTTCTAGTATAAATATCTAAAAATTCTTGAATCAAGATGCATTTACTTGACAAGTAAAATTATTTAAGATATTATGTCTTGTTTTCTAAAAAATAAAATATCAAAATTTTGTTAGTTTTTGCTTAAAACAAGCAAAAATATCTGCCAATGGGGCAAGAAAAATAATCTTGTTTAGCCTCTGAATTAAGATTATTTTTCTTACCCCATTGGCAGACATTTTTGCTTGTTTTAAGCAAAAACTAACAAAAATTTGATAATTTTTTTTTTAGAAAGCAAGACTTGATATCTTAAATCATTTTACTTGTCAAGTAAATGCATCTTGATTCAAGAATGTTTGAGAAGTTTGGGATCAGTAAGACTTGTAATGTTTTTTCAAAATTTTGTTAGTTTGTGCTTAAAACAAGCAAAAATATCTGCCAATGGGGCAAGAAAAATAATCTTGTTTAGCCTCTGAATTAAGATTATTTTTCTTACCCCATTGGCAGACATTTTTGCTTGTTTTAAGCAAAAACTAACAAAAATTTGATAATTTTTTTTTTAGAAAGCAAGACTTGATATCTTAAATCATTTTACTTGTCAAGTAAATGCAACTTGATTCAAGAATGTTTGAGAAGTTTGGGATCAGTAAGACTTGTAATGTTTTTTAAAGCAGTCTCTTGTGCTCATCAAGGCTGCATTTATTTGATCAAATATACAGAAAAAAACAGTAATCTTGCAAAATGTTATTACATAATATAAATGTTACATGTCTGTGTGTTTTGAGTTTCTGTTGTGACCTAGTTTTGCCCAGTCTGTTTAACTAGTCATTCTGTTCACCTGGTGTATTGTTAATTATCCCATTAGTCTTTGTGTTCTTAAGTCCTGAGTGTTCCCCATTTCATTTGCCAGTTATTGTCTACGTTAGGCACATACTTGGATTATTCCTGTGTTTTTCCTGTCTGGATTTATATCAAAAACTGTTATTTTGATTCCCTGCTCTCTCCGTGAGTTTGATCTACAAGTGACCGTAACAGAATAACTGGCCAAAGCTGTTTGAGCGGCATTTATCTCTCTTTTGTTTTGTTTAATTTTTACTATGGACCTTCCCCCCATAAAACTTCTCTGCCTGGAGATCGCCCACTGGAAGCTCACACCCTGGACTTTATTCAGCTCGCGTGCCTCACTCACTATCCAGACTGCTCGCTCTGTGTTTTCTATTACACCAGCTTCAGCAAGCGGTCGAAGGCAAGCGTTCCAGCGGGCGGTCCTAAAGAGGATTTTGCCGCCTTTGTGGAGTGGGTGCTGGTACACAACAACTCTGCGTTTACCATCGGCCCTGCAGAGGAGGACTTCGCCACCAGCCCCACTCCACCACTGCCAGAGACCAGCCCACCACCAGTGAACAACGTGATGGAGGTGTCGCACATGCCCACCGCAGACCGAGGAGGTCAGCACGCCGCGATGGAGGAACCTGGACCGAGGACGAGGTCAGAAGTTACTATCGCCCCGGAGCCTGCTTCTCTGCAATGGTCTGACCAGCTGTGCGAGCCGGCTTCACCGCTGAGCACTGAGGGAGTGTTAGTGGAGCTCGGGGACGTAGAGGATTGCCCCGCCCACACTCCCACCACTTTGAGTGAGTACTAACTGGCCTCTGGTGGATATTATGATGAACTGAAGGACATTTTTGAGGAGGATTTAATAGACTTTTTTGGTGAAGCTTTGCCCAATTCCCCAGTATCTCCAATGTCTCCTGAGTCTCCGCTGGTCCCGTCCAGCTCTCCTGTGTCTCCTAAGTCCCCTATGACTCTCAAGCTCCCACCTAGCCTCCCTCTCCCACCTCCTCAGTCAGCCAGTTCCTCAGCCCCTGTTCAGCTGCTGTCCTCCAGCCCCTCAACAGGCCATATTAGTAATGATGCTCTGCTAAGTGTCTGCAGGCCAGCTGCTTCATCCAACCCTGTGGATCCCCTGTCTCCGCCTCCAGCCTCTGTGCCCTCTGCTCCCCCTTTCCCCTATTGACACTTCGGCTCCACCTTGGCTCCTCCCTCCCTCGGCTCCACCAGAAATCATCGGCCATACGGCTTCTACGGGCTCCCTCATCCCTCCGGCTCCGCCTTGGTCAGTTGTCGACCTGCCTGCACCTGCGGCTTCAGCTGGCTTCTCCTTCCCCTCAGCTCCGCCTTCATTCTTGGTCCCACTGGCTCAGCCTCTGCCCTCAGGATTTCCAATTCCTCCTCGGACGCTCGTCGCCGCGGCTCCTCCTCGGTCTCCAGGACCATCGGCTGTGCGTGGGCACATCAGCTCATCGGCTCCATCTGGGTCTCCATCTGTGGTGGCTGCATCTCCATCGGTCGTCCCCATGGTGTCAGCTTCCGTCAAGGTGTCATTTTCACCATGGATCCTCCCACCTTCGACTCCGCCCTGGGGCCTTGTCCTGGCTGGTCTCTGGCTCAACACCTGGCTCCTCCTGCTCCTGGCTTCCCCTTGGCTCCTCCCACCCTCCACTCCCCCATGGACCTTTTTTTTGTACTGTGTTTGGTTTGTCCGCTCTCCTGCTCCACGCCCTCCTCCAGAGCCCCCACCCTCCCTCCTCAGTTTGAACTCTTTACGGCGCGAGGACGCGCCTTCACGGGAGGGGGCGATCTGTTACATGTCTGTGTGTTTTGAGTTTCTGTTGTGACCTAGTTTTGCCCAGTCTGTTTAACTAGTCATTCTGTTCACCTGGTGTATTGTTAATTATCCCATTAGTCTTTGTGTTCTTAAGTCCTGAGTGTTCCCCATTTCATTTGCCAGTTATTGTCTACGTTAGGCACATACTTGGATTATTCCTGTGTTTTTCCTGTCTGGATTTATATTAAAGACTGTTATTTTGATTCCCTGCTCTCTCCGTGAGTTTGATCTACAAGTGACCGTAACAATAAAATAATGATTTCTATTTTAATATCCTTTCAAATATCATTTATTTCTGTGATCAAAGCTGAATTTCCATCATCATTACTCCAGTATAAAGTGT